GCAACAACCATGGGTCACTTAAATTATTCCTTATATTAGTACAGTTATTTGATTCGAAAAGCAATGGAATCCAAACTAAAGTCATTGAAATTAAGACTGTGTCCAATGAAGCTCATGTCACTATACGAAATTTAATTTGTAATTCTCTAAGGGAATTGAGTCTTATTTCCAAATGCATAGCATTCAGTGACGACAATGCAAATGTTAATTTTATAGGGTTGTCAAGGAAACCTGGAAGAAAGGTCTTTACATCTCTGAAAACTGAATTACCCAATAATCATTTAATAGATATTGGTTGTCCTGCCCATATCCTTAACAATTGTTTGCATCATGGGTATGACCTATTTAAATATAACATTCAGTTGACTGTAATAAAAATTTACAAATTCTTGTCAATATACACTGCGCTAAAGGCGGCCGTTTGCCGAATATTCTCTCTCGTTCTCGTAAGCGAGAAAGGCTGGACGAGAATGGCGCACACGAGAATCTCGTGCAACGAGAACGCAGTCAGACGGAGGGCCCCACTAACGGTTTTCCGCAGACATCAACACGAGCGCAATCGTTGACCTTGGACATTGCGCCCTGGCGCAGAACTTGGCGAAACGTGACACTGCGTTGAAAATTTGTCGAATTTCTCGGTGTAGATTTTGCCCTTCTTGTAGTGACAAATAATCGAGAAACATGCCTTCTTACCCATAAATGAGTCTTCCCTCACATACCGAACTTCCTTCGTGCATGACTTTGTGTCTATCACAAAATACGATTATTGGCTTGGATTTGACCCTATTTCTAACATTGGCGAAAATAATCGCACAATTTCCTTATTCGGTACCATATTTATAACTGCAAGTGCATTAAAAATTGACATTGAACGCTAGTGGAGATATTAACTATTGTTACGACAGGGAACAGAAGCGTTATGTTTAATTCAAAATTAATGATTGAAATATGTTTAATTAAACAGTAGAAAATGTAATATTAATAATCTTCTTGAATAAATTAATAACGTTCGTATACTTTTCTTAATATTACTTAAGAAATTCTGTTTTGGAAATGGCTTCTCGGGAAGCTTTTTATAATGTAAGCTACATAGGCCCCTTGCCCGCGAGGGATGTTAATGTCATTTAATAATAATAATAAATAATATAATTTATTTTTATTACAAATTTTATCAAAGTTAGCGGTAATAATGTCAAAATAGATTAAATAAACACTTCACCCACTTGCGACGATGGTGTAATGGTTAGCGTATCGGACTGTTATACCCAAGCTTGCGGATTCAAACCCGATCGACGCCGTGGGTTTTTAAGGACCAGTAATTTGCGTGGTCAGACGGAAGAGCGGGCCTGATAGCCCGAGTCTAGCCACGTAAAATAAGGCATTAATTCAATTCAATATGGACTAGGAAAATAACATTTTAATTATAGCCCTTTTTACTAATGTATATTTAAGATTTAATTGAGAAACGAAGTAAAAGGATATTAAATTTGAACAATTAACAACACGGCCTGAAAGCCCGAACGCTTCGGATCATCTGAAGGTGTCGAAGCTTCCTCAGTCAAAGGACGAACACACCATCGCCCGAGGCGGGACTTGAACCCGCGATCCTTCGGTTCGAATTCGCTACGGCACTGCTGCCTTAACGATCTCGGGCATGAGGACCGGCGGCGCCTGCTTTGACAGCCTCTCCACGTGCGAAATATTAAGATATGCGTAGGTCATCTCTCAGGTCAGTTGGGGGATATCTCGATTAAGGACACTAAGAAAAGGTTTTCTTTAATCGATTCAACTATTATTGTGTATTTTAACTTTTGTGAAATTATAATTGTGGGTGATTTTCATTTACAACAAAAAATCGAAAACGTAAACACCCGGGTTCAAAACATTGACGATAAAAAGAATCGACTTTAATGCAGTTGTTGCTGTGATCCATCTCAGCCTTTTTAAATTTATTTTTTTGTTTTGTTTTATGTTTTATTGTGTGCCGACGTAATGATATTAAAGTATGCAATACTTTAATATCATGAATATATAAGGAAATGTTAGATTATTGCGCTAGAGAGCAATTACTGTTTTTAATTTAAATCAGTGAATTAGGACCAAATCATTGCTTTATAGTTTTAATCACGAGTTTCTGATCCTCGGCTGGCTTGGATTGCTTACGCGAATACTGTTCCTATCAGATAAACTCGTTGATCGGCGGCTCTCGTTGCCTCCCGAAAAGAATCTCTTTCGCCAGTGTGCTCTCTCCGCCTTGGCTGGGCAGTCCCCCTCCCGACCCTTTTCCATTCTTGGGCCGGCGAGAATAACTCACAACCTCGGGCGGGATGCGAGAGAGACTAAATCCAGTTTAGTCAGTCTCTACTGTGCGCACTGAGGCACTGAGAATTTTGCCAACTGGTTTAAGTTGAATACAAAGAACTACTTGGACACACTGCAACAAGGTAGTTACGCCTCTTCCCAGCCATAGAGGGAATATTAAGAATGATTCCATCCCGTAAGTCATACTTCCATTTCCTCATTTCCAGAAACATACCATAAATGATACTTAACCTTTTTAATGATGAACTGGCTGAATCTTTTTTTTTTCTGTACGAAAAGAGGAAAAATTAGTTTTGAAAGTGAGATGATTAATCAGATGAGGTCAACATATGCTAGAAAGTAGATTAAATGAAAAATTCATTTGTCTCATAATAAGAAAATGGCTGTCTCCTCTCAGATAAGAAGGTTTATCTTAGAAGTGTGATTAGTTTATGGAAGAGGTTTTACAACTTTACACTTGCAATATACCTAAAAGAATGGTTTTTGCCTCTGGATGAGTTCGTTTGCTTTGAGTGTACATTCTTTGAGGAGAAGAAAGTCAATGACCTAAACTTCGAAATGATTGTACTCATTCTGCATGACTTATATGAAAAAGAGGTCACCATTGATGTCGTAAATTCTTTGACCAGTATCAGTGCTTGAAAGAGATTCTTTGTGGACAAAATGAAGAATATTTTGAGCACACTGTAATATTTGAGAGTTTTTCTAAACTTTTAAAGAATTGTCATGAGAACAATTTTATATTATTATTATTATTATTATTATTATTATTATTATTATTATTATTATTATTATTAATATTATTATTATTAATATTATTATTATTAATATTATTATTATTATTAATATTAATATTAATATTATTACTAGATAACAGAATTTTGAAGTGAAACATCATTGTCTGCAATAATTGACGAAAGAATTTTTATAATTAAATTTGTTCAAAGAATTAGTTGCCCCGACCGGCAACCAAATCTTTGAACAAATTTAATTATTAAAATGAATTGTTACTCAGTGACGTGGTCACAATTTGAATTTCTTTACGATTACAGAATATATTCTCTGAGCATAATTGCGTCTAACAAGGTGATGGGATTGTGACAATTATAAAAAAGTATTTTTATAACTAGAACATTGCATTTCTCCAAAGGGTGATTTTGGTCCCTGTAGTTTTGTGATATTTATTGTTATTGCAATAATTGCTTCAAGTAGGCGAGTTTGTTAATGAGAAATCCAATAAAACTTCAGCTCATAAAATTTAAACATTTAATGCATCTGTGTGTTTTTTCTCATGCACTTATCATAAACAATGTAGAAAACAATGAATTACTTGCAGATATGTGGCCTCAAATGTTGACCCTTATGGATAAAGCACATGTTTTCTGAGCAGGGAAAGCATTACCTTACAAAACAAGCATGTCCAGCTTTCCGTTTTATCCAATATTGAGGAAATAACATTGTGTTGTGAAATCTTAATATTGAAGTTTGCATTGATTACACATGGTTTAAAAAGGCAGGGGGCAGGGCCCTCTTAAGTTGTAGTGCTTGTACAAGGCTACTTGTGCTCTTGTGTTGAACTGGGAATGATCCATTAAAAGAATGTTATTGATTTGGGCGTGATCATATTCATCATTAAAAGCTGCAGTAATTGGGGTAATTGGAGTATTTTTAATGAATAATAACTGTGATTGATCTTAAATTTTACCATTCCTTTCTGTATTCCTCACTTGCAAGAAAGAGCAGTTATCCTAACCTTATAGGTCTTTCAATTTGTGCCCAACAGCAAAAGTGAGCAAGGGCAGTACTTTAAAAAAATTATATGAAAATAATTTTATTATACATTATACATAAATTAATATATACATAAATTAATTATATGAAAATATCTTCTCAATTATATTTTAGGTGTATAAAATTCTTTGTACTTTTAAAATGGATGATCGAATTTATTTATACTTAAACTTTTTTGCAATGTTCTGAAATTTTAGAAGATTTGACTAGACAGTTTTTGTAGATGAGTTTTTTGTCAGTATTGTGTGCTGCTGTTTCTTTATTTTGTAGAAAATAGTCACTGCTTTGCAATTTGTTCTCTATTATGCACAAATTTCACTTTCAAGGCATGTGTGATCATACAAATCTTACAAATACTTCTAAAGAGAGGGTGTTGATGATTGACTATTCATTACATACTGCAATGACAACTTAAAGTAATGTATTTTTCAGTAGAATTTGTGTTGTTTCTTTTATCACTTTGTAGAGAACTTTTTTTCCCCATAGCACTTTCAAATTTTGTACATCTTGACAGATTTTATAGTCACCAATAAAATTTGTTTTCTTCACTGTTGTAAGTTAATTATTTTTTTCTACCTAACGTAAATTTCATTCTTTGTCACTTATGTCAGGACAATTGCATCATGAAAGCCAGTGACGTGTACTTCAGTGTTGATTTGTTTATTCAGGGTATGTGAAATTTCAACATTATTAGAAAGAGGAATAATGGATTTCAAAAGTAACAAATCAAAACCAATTTGAAAATTAATATGTTCTTTCCATTTCCTGTGTGAGAAATTGTACTGATTGGATTTTTCTCTAATGAATATTTTGTCGTAGTTCTGGAAGAAAATAGATTATGTCTAGTGCTGTTGAGAAAGCTCACATTTTCTCTTTGTATGTTGCAGCATGAATTATTTCAACTTGTCACTGACCAGGGCTTCCTACATGAACCTCGTGTTGTGTGGGAAACTCTATGCAATATTGAAGGAGATGGTCAATTTGTTGACTCTCGTTTTGCAACTGTGCCACCCAAGGCAGCAGAATGTTTTATTCCTGAAACCGCCATGACACAAGAACAACAGATCAACCAAGAGTGAGTAATCATGCAAAATTTATTTATCTTAGTATCCTGTATAGACGTGAGGGGTAATCAGTAAAGCTATAGATATTCTTCAAGTAATTATGAAATACTTTAGTTTCTAATAACATCATGACTTTCAGAAAAGATAGTTTATGATAGTTATTTCTCATTATTAATTATTTCTGTGCAGTCTGTAGTCTTTTGAGATTTTACAATTCGGTGCTCCGGTATTAGACATTTTTAACTAGCCATCTAAATGAACATTACAGGATCAACCCAATAAAAGTGCTGTGTTTTCTTTCAACTCTTTATGAAATGCTGTATAAAGAAGATATTATTTGATTGTTATTAGTTTATCCAACATTAATACAGGTTAGTCATACACAGCAATCACTGAGTAGTTGCAAAATAGTTTCAGGTTTTCCTTTCGTTCCTTCTCTGAAAATATCTAGCATGTTTTTTGAGCTCGTACTTTGACCGTCATGAAATTTTTATTTAGCAGAACCACTGACTGAACTTTTTATTGTTTAATAGGGCAAAAGTTTACAATAAAGTGTTGGGAATGTGAGATTTTTGAAAAGAAATAAGATTGAACTTTAAATTTACAATTCTCTAATGTAAAGGTACACACCCCACTTATCCCACAAAGCTGGTGACATGAATTCACAATGATAATTTTTACTAATTTAAAAAGAAAAATGAACTGATATTAATTATTAAATATTGTTGAATAATGATTCCATTTGAGTTAATATTCTGATTCTACTTGAGTTAAATGTTAATGATTAATTCATTTACATTAATAATAAAGTAGATGATTTCCCTAGATAGTATTTATGGCAATCGTCTATTAAAGTGTCCCTCCCTCCCACACACCTTCACCTCACCCCACCTGCCCCTACCCTGCCCCTTCTTGCCTTGTTTTTCCCTGCCCTGACCTTCTGTGCCCCTTCATGCCCTGCTCTTCCCCACCTTGCTCTTCCACACCATGCAACCCTCCGCTTCGCCCTTTCCTGCTCAGTCCTGCCCAATTGACCCCACCGACCACACCGACCCCACCTCATAAATTCACTCTTTTTCGTAATTTTTGTTTCTTTTTGTAAATTTGTTGACCTACAGTAAAAATACTTCATTCCAATTTTGGTAGATGTCTTCCCTTTCTTTCAATTCACCTGTACCCTTGACATTTTTAACGTCTTAGGTCTTCAGTTATTGAGTTTTGAACATACTCATCTGTTTCTTTTTCTATTATTTTGTGGGAAATAATAGAATGCAAATTGTTACTTACACTGATACATTCATTCACATCAAATTATTGACTTTGTTGTGTCTAAAAAAGAAATATATTGGACTACAATTTTCACTACTTAATCCTAGAAAGGATGAAGGGGTATTATATTACCCCAGGTCTTTTGCTTTTGCAGTTTCCGTAAATGGAAAGTGACGATATTTTGTGTATTCACCTTTGAGGTTGGGGTTTGTTTATAGCATTCGTCTTGCACTTATAAAAAAATGGAGCTAATTTGAAGTTACAAAATACCCCTGTATTGTTCATGTATGTACATACTCCCCTCCCATTAAAACGGGTTATTTGGCTCTCCACCATGAAGATGGTATTGATGCTCTTCACTATTCACTCTGATTAAGGATAAACCAGCTGAGGAGCAATATAGAAATAACGAAATGCTTGAAATGGAGTGTGTCCAAGGACAAAGGACTAAACAACATGCAAAAATGCATGCTTCAAGTGCAATAAACCTTTCTTCCAAGAACATGGATTAGACATGTTTTTCATTCAATATTAATTCAGTATAAGTGAAAAGAAATCTCTATTTTAAATAAATATTCATTAACCTTGTTATTATGTTGTTATTTGATTCTGTACTTTGGGGTAGTAGATTTCCCTGCATATCCATCTACTGGTGTTGCTTTTATGTATCCTTACAAGGGTTAAAAGAACAATAATTTGGAAATGTAGTTGTTCTTTTATTGATAGAAATTAAATTGGAAATCAAAGTTTATTTCATGGTTTTGGTTGTTAACTGTGTGTGTGTGTGTGTGTGCGCGTGTGCGCGTGCATGCATGCGTGTTTTTTCTGGGTGGTTGATTCCTTGTTTTATTGCAATTTTTACCTTCCAAACACCATATGATTATCCTGATATTTGATAATATTTCATAGACCATTTACTATATAAAACAAAATACTTCAGTTTTCTATTGATAAAAATCTTTCAGTTATGCATTAGATTCATTTCTTACAAGATTCTTTTAATTCAATTTTGTAGGGATTGTCAATAGTGGAACGTAATAAAATTACCCATCTTAATTATTAACCCCCTTTTTCTTCAGGGGGGGGTGTATTAAAATACCCAATTGTTTTAGGGGGGGTGAAATAATTAAAATATATGAGTGGGGAGCTCAGAGCTTAAGAAACTGTGCAAAGAACACACTTCTCTCCATAATACATCATACATTTTTTAACTTTTATTTTTGTTGAGTAAACAAATAAATAAATGATCTGGAAATTGGTAATCATAATATTTTTCTGCAATTTAATTTTTACTTCTGTCCTTACCTCATATTTGCAGAGTAAAGAGAGTAGAACTGCAGCAGAAATCAGTGATTTTTCAACAGAAAAACGTATAATGGGACCCTAGTATTGAAAAAATGGATAAATCATGTACCTATATGTAGTAAATTACTTCCTCTAACACGTTCTGTTACAATCCCAAGTTTTGCGAGTCCTTCATACCAAAAATTGATTGACAGCAAAACATCTTTCCATCTGTCAATGGTCAATGCAAGCGCCTCAACCATTCAGACAATTCATGTATCCCTTAATGATTTGGATGACCTTGACTAATTTTCTTAAAAAGGCTTCATTTTTTTAAATTCAACTTTGTCCTTAGATAGTGTAAAGATGCTTAAACAACGGTGTAGGAATTCTTTTTATTAAAATCTCTGTATATTTGAAATTTGTGAAATTAAAATTTTTTTTCGGAGTCTTTCTACATCTGCGGCATTGAAGACAGATTTTTTTCCTTAAAAACATCAGTACAAAACGTACTTAAAATTATGGCGCTGGTCTCATTGTCATTTAATCTCTGAATTTTCGAGAATGACATGGGTTAGAAGTAATGCGAGAACGTATGTACTGTTTTATCATCATTAGCTGTCCTTTTTATGTTGTTTTGAAATCTCTGATGACATGAAACCCAAAATATACACTTTTAAAAAGAAAAAAATACACTGTGAAGAAAGTAAATGAGAAAAGTAAATCTTGCACATTACAATAACTAAAGAGGGCACTTCATTTAAACATTGAACTTTGCAGCATTGAGGACAAACAGAGAATCACGTTACAGTCATTGAAAGTTTCACAGCGATTGCTCACCTCTAGAGCCAATATTGGTGCTTGAATTGAGAGACCTGGTCTGGTATGCGCAGACCAGGCCTATGTACCAATTGATATTAATAAACCAATTATTATTAGTTAAAAATTCTTTATTAGTAAAGGTTAATTTGGCTGGGCATTACCACCTGGTTGAACGCCTACAAAGAAAGTAAAATTTTCTTATTGAAACAAATCATAGGTGATGTTACGAAATTGACGTACTTGTGTGCTGTGTTTGAAGCTATTTGGGGAAGAGCATTTTGTAATAGATGGCTGCAATATTCACAGTAGATAAATTGAAATAAAATTATCATAATTTTGTGTTAGGCAGGTATGATTTAAACCAAATAATTATTGAAAAAAGATCAATGATGTAAATAAATATATTTGTATTTTAAATATCTGTAAAAAAAATTACTCAAATAAAAAGACACTCTATTTGCCGGTGTATAAGATGTAGTGTTGTATAAGACACCACTATTTTCAAGGAGTTCGTTCTTTAATGTTAAATTTTATACTTGGTTTTTATTTTTATGAAAGGAATGCGAATTGTGACTTGTGAAATGCAATGATTGTTTCTTCATCTTTTGCCGTGAGTCTTTATGATATTTTTCTAATAGGCATGGAAAGACCATGCCTTTTCGTAAATCTATCTTCTTGCAATACTTTTAGCTTCTATAATAATCAATTTTGTAGAAATACAATATCCGATTTTTGAAAGTACAAAAATCCCCATCAATTGTACAAGATGCATTCTGTGTTTTGACAAGTTACTGAATGAAAAAAAAGTGTGTCTTATACACCGGCAAATGCAGTAAATCAATTACTAAGGTGATATAAAGATTATAATATATTTCTTACAAACTTTTTCATATAATTGAACAATTTTGAGAAAATAAAATTCAATATAATATTCAATAAAATTAACAAACTTATGAAACGAAGAACAATTTACTATTTGTAGATTGTAGAACAACTAACAGATTTAGATGATTTGTTAGTTTTAATTCATCATATAATTGTTTGTAGATAAAAACAAATTTAGCAAGAATACTGCCCTAGCACATACCAAGCTAGTTTTGAGAAAAATTCATTTAAAGCTTTAATGGTGTCCATCTTTCTAGATTTGTATTAAAACGTTTCCTAAAGTCCACTTAAAGTACATCTTAAAGATGATGAGTATTAATAAAAATGGAATTTTTTTAATACTCGTCATAGAACAAAATTAATATTTTTAAAACTAATAAAAACAGTAGTTAATCTTACTAGTTTTAATAATATTAACCTCTTTACTTGTGTATATTGATAAAATATCATTTTAAGTGGGGAAGCAACAGGACTATATTAAAAATATTAACAAAATATTTTTTATAAAAATAGAATTTAATATTACAATAACTGTTATAAGTTTATTGATGAATTCAGTTGTTTCCAAGTGCTTTTTAATTAGAGCAGTATTACACAAATACTTTATTTGAACAAGGAACATATTTTTTCTAAATCACGCTAGTTGTTAGAGCCCCAAGCTTATTAGGTAATGTGAATACAAGAGAAGTGTTTGAAGAGCATAAAACTATAAGTAACTCTAATTTATTGATTTTGTGGGTTCTGTGGAATTGCACCAGATGTCTAAAATATATAGTATCTATTTTTTAAAATAAAATTACAATAATGTATTGGTAAATGTAAACTGGTGTTTTAATAGATTTTTCTGCTTTTAAAGTAATTAAGAAGAAATAAATCATTGACTACAATTTTGGTTTAAAATAAAAACATCTAATACAATTTTAAACAATTTGACTTTTTCAAAAAGAACCAGTCCTAATTGTATGTGATTACAAAGTTTATGCCAGCTTGTAGCACCACTAGTGTGGTATTTAATTTCATCTTTTTGTGCCAAGTGGTGGTAATAGGAATTTTTGAAGACAGAATGCAGTGGTGAGTGGAGAGTAATTTATTAATATATTTCATATCATTCGTATTACTGATTTCTATGTTGTGGTGATGGTGGGTTGTGGTGCTGGTGGTGGATCCATAGACTGAAACGAAAATAGAAAGGTGTGGTTCATTATTAACATTTATGTTACTTTACATTTTGAATCGCAAATTAAAAGAATTTTGAATGAAAATTTGTAATATGAAAAATCATTTGTGTAATCTAATTAGTATTAGAACAGCTCATTTGCAATGCCCTGACTAGTTGAAACTTGTGGTTAATTCACGGACGTTCAATTTTATCAGAATAGAAGAATTTTATCAGAATAGAAAACCAAAACTAAGTAATACAATAGGGCTATCTACAAATTAATCATGGCTGTCAGTAGCTTTCAAAAATTTAAGTTGCCTTTCTTAAATTACTTCCACTTGATGCAATCAACAATCGTAGTTTGTTTAATATTTTTAAAATATTTTTTATCTTCTTTTTACCAATTTCATCTCAAAGTCCATTCAATCAAAATATTTTCTGTTGTTTTAAAAATTGAATTAATACATGTTTTACTTTGATTTGAATTAAGGTGTGCTACATTTAATTTTGTCCTCAAATTTTCTTCCCAAGAAACTCTTTTCACTTTCATGAATCACTTTTTCACGATATTCCAAAGTTAACACAGTTCTCATTTTACTGAACATTATTTTCCAATCCTACATATTCATGCAAGAAATATCCATGACCATTCCTCTTTACCTAGTATTAGAAGAAACAAAACAACTGTACCCTCAGGCCATGATATAAAGCCAGTGGTCATGACACATTGTTGAACCTGATTAAAAGAAATGTGAGCTTCGAGCAACTCGTTTTTTGATTTTGGGGCTACCAATTTGATGACAATGTCCCCCACTCTTTTCAGCTTATGATTTTCGAAGGACTTCGTTTTATTCGAAATACACTGGATACCTGAAATCCCAGGGAGGAGTCCCACCCATCAAATTTATCAAAGGGCACAGGCAAGTCCCTCCCATAGGGCATGTTTGGGAAATTTGCCATCTAGGAGTCAAATTGCAATTTAGGGCACTGTAGCAAAAAGAGATTAAGAGACAGACAAAAGGTCCACATTGATTATACAATAAATGGTGATAAGAATGCATGCTGACTACATAAATTTCAGAAGAGTCGAATGTAGCAAAATATCTAATGCATTTAAATACCATTTGCTTGTTACATCTTGGTGCATTCTTATGCATCTATTCTATTTGCATACTTGTAAAATTAGGGGTTATTATTTGAGAATATACCAACATTTCTTTAAAAAGCGGTATGTACCCTTTCTTTCCAGAAAACTCCCAGCGGTGCATTTTTGCTCTTCAAAAAGTATGAATATTTAACTGAAATCCATGAATTAAATAAAGTATTTCAATGCTTGAGATGAAACAGGTTAAAGAGGTAAATTATGAAAACTGCTATTAAAGTATTGATCAGGGTTCAGGAAGAAGTCTGTTAAAAGGAATACAATTTACATAGAAAATATGGGTTTCAGTGTATTCCAAGAACAATTAGTCATTATGATACATGTTAAATGAGGGGTTGGTGTTTGAGAAGGATCATCATTCAGTGAGGTTTTACTGTACCTGAAATAAGTTATCAAATGTCTTTCCTAATAAGTGAAATAAAGTAGTAGCAAACATAAATTGGTAAATTTTATTAAAGAAAGATATTACAATTCGTTTGGGAGGTTGTGATTACTACAATATTAGATTTTCCATTGTTTTTATTTATCGAACAGCTAAGTGTGTGATTATACTGTTTACGTAAAAGGTTAAAAAAATTATTAATTTTATTATGGCTTACTTGTATTCTACAAACCTGCATAACTGTAAAATCAGCACTCCAAATTGGTACTTTTTGTAAGTGTTTGTGATTGTTTCTGTTTTGTTCATAATTATATTTGGCTTATGTGCCCTTGAAATTTATAAAGGTAGTTCATTGTTCATTATGTGACATTATCATTTTTCTAAACAAAAATTTATCTTTTAATCTCCGAAGAAAATATGACAAACAATCTAGAGGAACAAATACAATATTCATAATTGGATTGATTTACAGATAGAAGAAATATGTTTTGTAAATGAGAGTAAGTCTATTCTTGCTCTGGATATTAAATCTAATCTTACAACTGAATGTGTATACAATGAATTTTTTAAAATAATGTTTTGAATATTTACTAGAGTTATTAGAGGACACATTTTAGTGTCTTTTTTCACAATTTTCGTTTCTAAAATACTGAATTAATTTTATGAACATATCAAATTTTCACCTTATAAATTTTTCTTTGATTTGATACAATAGTTGAACTGAGAAATACATTTTAAAATAATATTGCAGATTTTATATTCTAGAAACTGATTACCTCTTCACAAAGTACTAATATTTCTTTTGCATGAATGTGCTTTTTCATTCTTGTCAATTGTTATTTTTTCATTTTCTCATTTTCTCAATCTGTAGAGTGTTTGTGCACACCGTAGTGTTACTGTTCTTTAAGTAGTGTGTAAAGACCATATTGTTTGTCAGATAGATTTACAATTTTAATGGACAGTAAATAAGTTCCCTTGAGTGATTTGATAAGGATTATCATTCTACCTCTATACTTACATGATAGTATTAGCATGTATTTGCTGGTAATGGTTTTGCAAAAGATGAACCCAAAGAGTTGTCCCAGTTAGCTGAAACCGACAAAATTGTTGGAGAAATAAATTTACTAATTAAATGAAATCATTTACAAGATTTTATTTTACTGTTCTAGAGACTAATGAGTGTGGACAGTCTTGATTAAATTTTCTTTGATTAAATATTCTTTGAACTGTCTACTAAATCATTGCTTGTAAATGAAGATCAGTTAGATTTTTCCCCTTGAAATATATTCTTTGCATCAAGATGTTTTCCACCTGCTCTAGAACATCTCGTAACAAGAAGGAACATCTTTGGAGACAGACTAACATTTTCTGTAAACTAATTTTGTGAAGAAAACTTACTGATTTATTTATTAAACTTGGATTAATGTTTCTGTCTTTGCTTTGGAGGCTGTATTATTTCTTCTCTATTCTACAAGGCATATTTCTCTCCATAAAGTCTGTCTTACTATTATTGTCTTTGATTAAGGTATATATCTCTGCTGTATATTGTGCTTTGTAAAAAATAGAGGTGTACATTGAGTGCATTTGATGGATTCCTCCTTCACCCTGTCCCAGCTACCTGGTGGCTTTAAGCCTTCAAGAGGAACAAAAGAAGGAACAAGACCGTGAGCAGGCTTGGCAGGAATACAGGGACACCTTAACTAGCTCACCTGAAATATCAGAGTAAGTCACCCTTCTTGTGCATGCCCTCCCCCTTGGAATGGTGGCACAACTTGTTGCATTTCGGGTGCATCTGACTTCTAAGTTTTTATATATCCCTAGTCATATTGGCTTTTCTCATTTGTTTCTATTTGTGTGTGTGTGTTTATCTGTGTTTCAAGACTTGGGACAGTTGTTTGCAATAAGTGTTGTTTTTTATTGTCTTTATAAATTGTTATTTTTGATATTTGTGTAATGAGATAGTTTTTGTGTCTCAGTAAAATTCCGATACTTTACTGCTATTTCAGTCTGAAGTTGATATGTTGGTTACTGAAAGAAAAGTAATTTTAATAAAAGAAAGAAGAGAGGATGACATTAATATGACATACTTTTCGTTTATATAAATTTCACTTAAATGTGAATCCTGTTAAAGTAAAACTGGGTTCTAATTCTTATTGATAATAATTAGTACTGCAATAACTCTTACCAAAGTTTGTGACAATGGAATTTACCTGTGGTTTTGATATAAAACTGCATATTCCAAATATCCATGTATGTTTCTCAAGTTTAATTAGAGTATCTTCAAAGTCACTGTGATTGTGATTAACCTATGTTATCAAGTAGAAATTCAATGCCGGAATTTGTGTAGTTTGTCTTCCTGATCAGGTACAAGATTGCAAGTTTGCTGTGGCAATTCAAAGAAAAGTATTGCCCAAGTATTATGCTCTAAATTTGAATATCTCTTTGTACCTTTTAGTCCAAAGCTTGTTCATTGAATGCTTTTTAATTGTTGACAAGACTCCAATAATACAGTTAATTACTAGTAGTGGTTTTATTTTACAATATTTTACTTTGACTTGTATTATTGCATTCAATTGTTATTGAAACGTTAATGTTAATTGTATTATATTTATTAATTTATTGTCACATTTATATTGGTATTATTATGTTATATAGGATATATTATGTATTATTGATAACCTCTGAAGTTTATTATTTAAACTTGTGCTAAATTTAATTCTTGTAGGCATAAGTTTTTTTAAATGAGCAGTTTTGAATATATCTTAATTTCGTGGATTGTGATTAACAAGTAAATCATTTGAATTGTTCACATAATGCCATGTTTGTGACAGAAGGGTTCATCTTGAACAAACATTTAAAGGGTGTTTGACTATTATAATTGTAATTTAAGACTAAGCATACATATTTGTACCTTTTCTAATCCTAAACATAATAGCATAAATTAGATGACAATTAAAAATTGAAGATTAAGCATTGCTTTCTTGGCATGAACCAAAAGTATATTAATCATGATTAACACTGTAGGAAAAAAATCCTTGCTTATTCCTTTTAAGTGACCTTGCCTTATTAATTCTCCTACACTATAGAAAGTCAACAAATTATGTTTTTAATTAAAAAAGAAAGGAAGTATCAGTTTCCATATCAGTTATACAGTTGCCCATCAAATGTAAACATTTTAAAATATTTTGAAGACTGAGAGAGGGGAGGTTCCACATTATATTGCAGAGTTTTTGTTTTAATTAAAAATATTCGAAGTTGTCCCTCAAAGGCTATAGGAGAATAAGAATTTAAAAAATACCCTCAAGTGTTTTCGATCAACTGTTTGTGGATTATACTTAGGATCAAGAAAAATAAGATTTACCAATTTTCACTCCCCCATCCCTTTTCCTTCTACAGACTTTAAAAAACATGTTATTGCCTTGTTTATTTTTTCTCGGATACCTTAAATTGTTTTAAGACCTGGAATGAATGAGAACAGCTTTGTAAAAACCTAATAATAAAAACAACAATTTTAAGTTAATTTTTGGTAAGAAATTTTAATTTTTAACCTGCTTCAGTGTGAAAAAATCTCAAAGTATTTTTTATTTTAGAAACTGTGGGAGGTACTCCAAAAGAAAAATATATTTAATGTTTCAAAATTTTTTAAATTTATTTTATTTTATTGTTTTTGAGGAGTGGAACATACAAAAGATAATTAAAAACTGATTTTCCACCATAATGACTTGCTTGTTTTCAAATATACAAAAACAAAGAGTTCTAGGAGAATTTCCTCATGTTCAAGAAACTTTTGGTGGCCATTAAATCCATTTATCGTATGAAAATGAACTGAACAGCAGACAGTTGAATCTTAAAGATCAGTTTGCTTCATTCTCAGATTGAACAGTTGACACTGTTATTCTGTACCATAGCAGACACATCAGGTGTGAACAGGTATAGGGTTAGTGTCTATTCCCCCTTTCTCACTAAATTTGATTTGTATTATGCTGTTTTAAGTGAATATAATGAGAAAAAAGTCCAGTATAAAGATATCCAATCATACACTATATATTTAAGTATATATTAGCTATTTGGCAGTTAATATCTATTAATAGCACACTTTTTAAGAAATAAATATAAATTAATTCAAATGTTAAGCAATTAATTAGTAATATATTTTAACCAACTTTCATTTTTTAAATTCATCCCATAATATGAATATGGAAATGCCACTAAACTATGGAGCTCAATAAAGTTTAATTTGAAATACAATAAATCATACCTTCTAGTTGAATTTTGAAATTGAATGTACTACAAATTTCTTCTCAACTTGGAGATCTGTGTGCTTAACTAACTTCTTTACCATAATTTTAACTTACAATGGAGTAGAATAGTTCATATTTGATTGTTCCTAAATATGATTGTAATATTAAAATAGGACTAGTTAGCATTTTTTAAATTTTATTTTGTGAGGAAGTGTGAACGGGTAGAAGAAAATATAGCCATTTTCATGAAAAATAATTTATTTTTAGTTGTTTGTTTATATGTTCCACCCCTGAAAGAAATGACGTACACAATTCATACACTTGCTGTGCAAATACAAGAAATATTTTTTTCTCTGGTACTACTTCTTAATGTTTTTGAAATAAAAAAAAAGTAATTTTTTCACATTAAAACAAGTTAAAATTTAAATTTTCTAGCCAAAAATGTACTTAAAATGTTGCTTTTATTATTAAGTATTTACAAAGCTGTTTTCACCCATTCCAGGTGAAAGTGCCTTTTAAGGCATTTGAATCAAAAAAAAAAAACATGAAAAAAAGTCTGTGTTATGAGAGGAGGTGGGGATCTGAAAATTGGTATATTGTAGTTGTCTTGACCCTAAATATAATCCTCAAGCAGTTGAAAACATTTGAGAGCATATTTTACATTCATATTCCAATGAATATTTTTTGATTCATAGAAGATTTTTATTTATTGCATATTTTCATGTACAGTTTTTCAGATTGTCACATTTAAAGATAATACATTGAAAATATTATAATAACCTATTTCTACAATTATTTTCATATAAAATTTAATGTCTATATTTTTGTAAACAAAATTATAGAAATACATTTATTTCAAAAATATGTTCAGTGTGGTGATCATGGTGCATTTATTTCATTTACTTTTATGTCAAGATACAGGCATGATCATATTTATCATTTCTTGAAAAGAAATAATCAGTAATTATCTGCACTTATGACACTTCACTTTTCCCATACAATGTAATTATTTTCGTGGTAATCTAAGAAGAAATTGTTCTTTTATTTTTGAAATTGTGCTAAATTAGATGCACTTATAAATTTTTATTTGAACTACCAAGAGAAAGAAATCTGTTTTGCACTTTCTTGAAGACAATATTTTGCAGCAGAAGACTTGCATGTTGGTTTGGGCACTTCCACAAGAACTTCCAAAAAATTCAAATACTAGTTTATTGTTGACTATTTCTTAAAATTCTCCCACAATTTTTTTTTTTGTCATTTTCTCTGAACATCCGTCCATTGACCGTCCAGCAATCAGCCTGTTCAACTTTTCCAAAATCTGTCCATTAGTGTATTTTACTGTATATGTCTTCCCCTTTATATGTGTCCATTGTATGCCCATGTTCATCCATTCATTAATTTTCCTATTTTCCCTCCTCCCTTGTCTCCACACATCTTCCACGTCTCTCTCCCTTCCCAATATATTCTCTTTCCTTCCCGCTGCCTCCCCAACTTTCTTCCTAGTTAGGTTGACCTCATCCTAGTATTACATGTTTTTAAATACAAACAGGTTGTTTTCAAAATGATTGTTTTTATAGAATTTTATATAAACATCAAAAACTTGTGATACTGTTGAAGTCAGATCAGTGTGCTTAAAAGTTTGCACATTGTGACTGCATAGTTTGTTCTTGATTTCAAGACCTCTTTAAAAGGCTTCAGCAAGAATAGTTGGTGAAAATGAAAATGCTTCCTTATTGAAATGACATAACAAGACATCAACATCCACCACTTCCTCTAAAAAGAATTATTGACAATTTTTCTCAGATAAACTTTCAATGTTTATTGATAAAATATTATTAACAAATATCACGAGATGTTCATGAAATGTTTATTTTATAAGTAAAATTTAATTGAGAGAAAATATTACTTAAAAAAGTCCTCACTATGCAGTTTACAGAGGAGAGAAGGTAAAATAAATGTTCATATTTGGGTTCATACAAAGCTTATTTGAGAGCATTTTCCTTGTTTCACTTCTTTAAATGGAGATGCAATTTTTTAAATTTTTTTATTATTAATATTACTGAAAAAATCATACAAGTATGCCTTGTATTGTTATTTATACAATATTTTTTAGTAAAAATTAATTTAAAGTTTCTTTGATTAAAAAAACAATTTTAATTTCTTCTGGTAAGTGGGGAAAGGTGTGGAGAGGTAAAAGTTGTACTAAAAATTATATTTTGACGTAGTAGTACAATAAAATTTGGTGTAATTTCAACACTAAAACCAATTTGGTGTGTTGTCAACATCTATCTGGCTATAATATTTAACGTAGAAATTAAATTAGTGATGTTTTGTGGAAACTAATTGTATTGTTAATAATTATGCTATTTAATTTACAAATTAAATATTTTGATTCTTTGGAAGTTTAAGGTGAAATGGGAATGACAGGGTGCAGTTATAATACTTTAAGAAATGTGTGATGGAAAAGCTGATTTTCCAGTTACATTTAACGTAGTGATATTCCGTCACACCAGTTACCATAATACTACTTCTAATAATAATGATAATTACCTATACCAAAGATGTAAGAAAGCTAAAGTGCTATAAATGCAGAACATGTTTGTATGAAAAACTGGAATTACACAAAGTGTTAACAAGTCATGCCTGTGAGCATTTAGTTTTAATGAGATTACTTTTATTCTTGAGGGAATAAAAATTTGTATTTAAAATAATTAAGTGTATCCAAGAGATTAGTTTCTCTTGGATAAAGGATTAAGGACACTAAATATGTGGATGCTTTTTCATGCTGGCCTACTTTTATTTTGTAACAATTTCTGAGAATTAAGTAGGCATTTTAAGTTTACCTCATAAGAGATGTATTAGATCCTTTTCTAGCATTGTGTGCACTTTATTCAGATGTAGTGTAAATGAACATGATGTTCACTAATATAGTCTGGTTACAAAAATGCATGAATGAAATGTGGTGTACATAATTGATATAATTTTACTCGTGAGGCCTCTGGAATTGCATTTGTGACAGTATCATTGAAGGAAGTATTATCAAGAATTCTGGTGTACCTTCCTTACGTATTCAGTGTGTAATTGTCACTGGCTGATTTTTTACTGCATGCAGACATTAAATCTGATAGATAACTGGTAACAGCATACCACACTGTAAAATCTGCATCAAGGTTTATGTTGTAGAGTTCAGTTCAGTGGTGTTAGCATATCAAAATATAAAGTCCCAAAGAAACTTTTATCTTTTGAGAAATAATGCTAAAAATGTAACTTTCAAAATTTTAATTCAATTTTTTGTTCTTTTTTCCCTTCCACTTCTAAAAGTATTTTAAGTTAGATCAAATTACAATAGTTTGCACTGAAACATGCATTTTTGTAGTTCACTGTGAAGAAGTATATTTCTTTCATTAAACTTGTAATAGTTTGCCAGCCATTTACTGCTACAAAATAATAATACTAGTCTTAGTTGACATACATAAGTCATGAGAATGTAATTAAAAAAATACTTATGTGCATTCTGAATGACTATCTTCTACCTCACCTTCTGAAAATATAACAAACAAACAAAAACTGTTGAAATGTGATTTGTCACTTGTTTTTGTTATTATTGTTAATGTTGTTGTTGCCATTATTCAAACTATGAATTTGTTCCATAAAAACATTTTGATGTACCCTAAAGACTTTTTTATAGTTCCTAACCTTATAGTATGTGTAGTTGGATCTTAATTATTACACTCTGAGGCCCATTGAAATGCATTTAACTATATAGAGAAACACATTAAGTATTGAGGGTCAAATATGAGAGATTGAAGTCTGGATTTTTATTTTATATTCTTAATTGGAGTAATTAATTCTTACTGCAATGCAGATCATGAACCCTAAATATCGGAATTTTACTGCTTCTTTAGTTATGGTCATATTTGCATTATATTAATTAAAAAGTTGTTATTATCATTGCAAAATTTGTTCAAATGTGTGTTAAGAACAGCAAATATGAAATAAAAGTTGCTTTGGTGTGTATAAGCATCCTGCTTCTTTTCCCATTGTAGGTGATGGATGTCACATCTCCTACTCCTTGTAGTTTTAAGGCTTTGTTATGGGGCTCAGCATGCTCAGCTTGGTCAGATGATGGCATGATTTCCATCATTACAGAAAAGACTACACTTTCTTTTCTTTGATATACAAAAGCGGGGATTTATTTATTTTATTTTTATTTTACATATACATATTTCTTCTGTTTCAATTAAAACGTTCTGTCAGAGATGTTGTTTCCATGCTTGATGTCATGATGTAATGTTTTGCTCCCATTTATGGTTGTCCTATGATTGTTACATATATCCTACTGTTTTTCTTTTTCTGCCTTTCTTCTGCTTTCAATTTGTGATTGTGTTACAATCTACGTTTTACCTGTTATTTTCATTCATTGTAAAATCTAAAATAAAATTACTTCAGATGTTTGCTATATTTGTTTGTTTGCTGTACAGTTTTTTTTAATTACATTTGTGCAAAACCTTTTCTTTGTTATTACATAAATGCTATTGAACAGACAGGGGTTTAAATTATTACAGATATCAAAATTTTCTCAAGCACACTTTGATTTTGAAACTAAAAGCATTTAAGTGTGCTCTGCTGAATCTTGAATGTGAAACAAGATTTAGAATGCAACCAATGTTTCTTACCAGTATGATACTGGGCAAGTACTTGTTAATTTTTCATTGCACTTAAACTCATTAAGAAAGTATTATCACATTTGTTCAAATTTTAGATAGCTT